AACGTAAGTTTCAGTATAAAATAATTAGTGGAAGGACCTTGAGTGGTTTACGATGTTTCCATCACCACTCTTGACACGCTAAACCGCAATATTTAAAAGGTAAGAATTTTATATCTGGTGCCTAAGACGACCCCCTAACTTTGGGCTAATATTTTTATGGTTCAAATTCCTTCTTATAGGCCGAGATATACGGTAAATTATTTCTGCAATTGTTCACAAGCAAAACACATAAATCAATTGAACATGTGATGTCGAACGTGAACTGTAAACACTGCATAACCCCGCGCCAAGCCACAACAAACGTTTGTAATGGGTTGTGTTAGGCTTACCCACGCAACCAGCTCCAAAGTTTGTTTTACCAGAGATAAGACGCCCGGCGAGGCATAACTGGGACATGCATTTTTCAATTAGTGTATGTTAGCCAGCCTTTAGGGGGGGTGGGCAGTGAAACAGTGTTGTACTGTTCATCGCTTCACACCCAAAAATCTCATTTTAAGTAGTATCCCCTGAGCCATGGGTTAGTTAAGACGTCGTCTCCATCCTCTCCCTCCTGAAAGGGGGTGGGACACCACACCACACAGAGTCCTCCACCGCCACTCCGTCCTGTGAACCGTCGTCGACACGAGACTAAGCGTGTTAACCTAGGTTGTTATCCCCGTGGAAATATCACGTGTGGATGCCTGGTTGCGACAAGAGCAATCCAGGCTGGCCGATCAAACCTACAGTAAATGGTTAATTAATTCACGCTTGCAGAGTTCTCCTGCACGACACCCGTCTACAGTGACCGTGATCGACACGAGACTAAGTTTGTTAACCTAGGTTTGTTATCCCCGTGGAAATATCACGTGTGGAAGCCTGGTTGCGACAAAAGCAATCCAGGCTGGACTATTGCACCTAAATGGTTAATTCAAGTCACGCTTACCAGTTCTCCTTGCCGCGATAACCGTCTACAGTGACTGTCAGTGACGCGAGACAATGTGTGGTAACCCAAGAGTACTTTTTGTTGTTATGGCCGTGGAAAGAAGTTCTTGTGATGAAGCCTGGTTGTAACAAAAGCAATCCAGGCTGGCAGTATATGTATCACTTGAAGAATTAGACTCTGTTAAGTCATACCCACAGTAGAGTAATCACATGTATCCCCAAGTTGGAAATTCCCTGTTTTAGAAGATTAATTTTATTACAGAGTGAACGTGAGCGAATCATGTATCCATGCAAATTGTTAATCATTGTATGGAAGCTTGACAAATAAATGTAAGTGCAATTATCTGCCCATATCTGTGATCCTATCTTATTATTACTAAAGGTAATGACTGATTGGTTATGACAAAGTATAACCAATAACTTAGATGGATGTTGAAAATTAAATGAATTCATTAAATCATTATTTATCAAGTATAAATCATGGAATGTCGAGTGGTGGAGTGAACTTCTACGTAGATACGCCATAATCTCCTGTAAGTAACCAGTGTGAAGGTATCGAACTCTACGGTAAGAAATAAGAAATACGACATATTATTATCTTTATATAATATAATCCACTCCTACTACCACCGATACACCCAAAACCATGACACCGTTCGAGTGGAATCGCTGGAATCGCGTTAGAGCAAACGCGTTTTACAAATATTGTTCCTCTATTCATCAATCGCGTTAGAGACAATTCGCGTTGTCAAAACACGCGTTATAGCAGAACTCCCTGTATGTTCTGTTGTTCACTTTACGCGTTTCCCGCTTTACACGGGCCTCCGTGGGTTCAATTGACTGCGTAAAGCGAGGTTTCACTGTGTATCACCTCTTACACATATGTATGTTAATACTATATCACCTCTTACACATATGTATGTTAATACTATATCACCTCTTCCACACATGTATGTTAATACTATATCACCTCTTCCACATATGTACGTTAATACTATATCACCTCTTCCACATATGTACGTTAATACTATATCACCTCTTCCACATATGTACGTTAATACTATATCACCTCTTCCACATATGTATGTTAATACTATATCACCTCTTCCACATATGTACGTTAATACTATATCACCTCTTCCACACATGTATGTTAATACTATATCACCTCTTACACATATGTATGTTAATACTATATCACCTCTTCCACATATGTACGTTAATACTATATCACCTCTTCCACACATGTATGTTAATACTATATCACCTCTTCCACATATGTATGTTAATACTATATCACCTCTTCCACATATGTACGTTAATACTATATCACCTCTTCCACAAATGTATGTTAATACTATATCACCTCTTCCACATATGTATGTTAATACTCTATCACCTCTTCCACACATATATGTTAATACTATATCACCTCTTCCACACATGTATGTTAATACTATATCACCTCTTCCACATATGTATGTTAATACTATATCACCTCTTCCACAAATGTATGTTAATACTATATCACCTCTTACACACATGTATGTTAATACTATATCACCTCTTCCACATATGTATGTTAATACTATATCACCTCTTCCACACATGTATGTTAATACTATATCACACATATGTATGTAATACTATATCACCTCTTCCACATATGTATGTTAATACTATATCACTCTTACACACATGTATGTTAATACTATATACACACCTCTTCCACATATGTATACTATATCACCTCTTCCACATATGTTAATACTATACTATATCACCTCTTCCACATATGTATGTTAATACTATATCACTTCTTACACACATGTATGTTAATACTATATCACCTCTTACACATATGTATGTTAATACTATATCACCTCTTCCACATATGTATGTTAATACTATATCACCTCTTCCACATATGTACGTTAATACTATATCACCTCTTCCACATATGTATGTTAATACTATATCACCTCTTCCACATATGTACGTTAATACTATATCACCTCTTCCACACATGTATGTTAATACTATATCACCTCTTACACATATGTATGTTAATACTATATCACCTCTTACACATATGTATGTTAATACTATATCACCTCTTACACATATGTACGTTAATACTATATCACCTCTTCCACATATGTATGTTAATACTATATCACCTCTTCCACATATGTACGTTAATACTATATCACCTCTTCCACACATGTATGTTAATACTATATCACCTCTTCCACACATGTATGTTAATACTATATCACCTCATACACATATGTATGTTAATACTATATCACCTCTTACACATATGTATGTTAATACTATATCACCTCTTACACATATGTATGTTAATACTATATCACCTCTTACACACATGTATGTTAATACTATATCACCTCTTCCACACATGTATGTTAATACTATATCACCTCTTCCACACATGTATGTTAATACTATATCACCTCTTACACATATGTACGTTAATACTATATCACCTCTTCCACACATGTATGTTAATACTATATCACCTCTTACACATATGTATGTTAATACTATATCACCTCTTACACATATGTATGTTAATACTATATCACCTCTTACACATATGTATGTTAATACTATATCACCTCTTACACATATGTATGTTAATACTATATCACCTCTTACACATATGTATGTTAATACTATATCACCTCTTACACATATGTATGTTAATACTATATCACCTCTTACACATATGTATGTTAATACTATATCACCTCTTACACATATTTATGTTAATACTATATCACCTCTTACACACATGTACGTTAATACTATATCACCTCTTACACACATGTATGTTAATACTATATCACCTCTTCCACACATGTATGTTAATACTATAACACCTCTTACACATATGTATGTTAATCCTATATCACCTCTTCCACACATGTATGTTAATACTATATCACCTCTTCCACACATGTATGTTAATACTATATCACCTCTTCCACAAATGTATGTTAATACTATATCACCTCTTCCACATATGTACGTTAATACTATATCACCTCTTCCACATATGTATGTTAATACTATATCACCTCTTCCACATATGTACATTAATACTATATCACCTCTTCCACACATGTATGTTAATACTATATCACCTCTTACACATATGTATGTTAATACTATATCACCTCTTACACATATGTATGTTAATACTATATCACCTCTTACACACATGTATGTTAATACTATATCACCTCTTACACATATGTATGTTAATACTATATCACCTCTTCCACATATGTATGTTAATACTATATCACCTCTTACACATATGTATGTTAATACTATATCACCTCTTCCACACATGTATGTTAATACTATATCACCTCTTACACATATGTATGTTAATACTATATCACCTCTTACACATATGTATGTTAATACTATATCACCTCTTCCACATATGTATGTTAATACTATATCACCTCTTCCACATATGTACGTTAATACTATATCACCTCTTACACATATGTATGTTAATACTATATCACCTCTTCCACATATGTACGTTAATACTATATCACCTCTTACACACATGTATGTTAATACTATATCACCTCTTACACATATGTATGTTAATACTATATCACCTCTTCCACATATGTATGTTAATACTATATCACCTCTTACACATATGTATGTTAATACTATATCACCTCTTCCACATATGTATGTTAATACTATATCACCTCTTCCACATATGTACGTTAATACTATATCACCTCTTACACATATGTATGTTAATACTATATCACCTCTTCCACATATGTACGTTAATACTATATCACCTCTTACACACATGTATGTTAATACTATATCACCTCTTACACATATGTATGTTAATACTATATCACCTCTTCCACATATGTACGTTAATACTATATCACCTCTTCCACACATGTACAATAATATATTAAGAACAAATCAATTCCATCCCTTTACAATCTGTGCTGCTTTTTATCATTGTACTTTTATCATTCATGCAAAAATGTGCAAACTTTTACTTTTCAGTGGGATGGAAGGAAGAAATCTGGCGCCGACAGATTCTCAGCTCCCCGGTCTGGCCGCCGGAATCGTAAGTAAAACCGATAGTGTAGGGGGCATCGTACTGCGGTTGGAGTCCGGCCACGTACAGTCGGATGAGCGGCAGCCCTGGTCCGAGTTGGTTATCCGAGATGGGCCGAGTTGATCCGAGTGGTAAATTTGCATAAGTTCACACAACTCCGTTAGAAAGTCAAAAATATAATTTTCCAGTGTATTTATGTTTGTTTAGATCGGCTATGACCTTCATATCTGTCGGCAAGTGGCCGGTTTTTGTTATCGCTTTTTTTTTGTGGGACGTTTTCCGAAAAAAATAATGGTTAAGCGAATACAAAATACACCATAAAACACTATAAAAACATAAACCTAACCTCATCTAACCTAACTGACTCTCACCATATGATGGAATCCCAAAATTTTCACCTTATTGGCCGTCTTTTCTTTGTCTTTGGGATAAGGGAAGAGTTACCACAATACCACATATGATGGTCTAGACGATATTTACATTCATTCTTGCACTTAGGACACTTTACTGAGGTCAGGAGAAAACTATCAGATCTAAAAAATGCTATAGTTTCTTTGTTTTTTTCCCAAAACTCCCAATCAGCTCCATATAATTGAAGTGACACCCATCGCAGAGTTCCATGGTCGGAAATGAATTTGAATTTGGAAATGAGAGACCCAAAATAAGAATCAAATTTAATTGGGCCAAAAATGACTTATGAAGAAGAAACGCAGTGTGGGAGGCGATAATGGCGGAAGATTAATGGAAGAAAATAGAGAAAATTTTGTATACGCTATCTCCGTTATTATACATTTGTGAAAGTAATGTAATAGATGAAAGTTATCTTATAATTAGACATCCTATTAGAATATGATAATAGATTAGGGATGGGAATATTGTGTGCGGAAATGCAATAATACCATCCGAGTTGGCGATGGGCCGAGTTAGAGTGCAACCAGTGTGACTGACGGTGGATGGAAATAAAGTTCACAGGAAAAAGTCACATGACTTGTACACATTGACAACACAATATATATATGATGGCATTGCATGTAGGTTAGGTGGTATTATTGCATTTCAACATTCCACATTCTTACCACTAATCTATTATCATATTCTAATAAGACGTCTAATTATAAGATCATTTTCATCTATTACATAACCGTCGCAAATGTATAATAACGGAGATTGCATATCCAAAATTTTCTCGATTTTCTTCCATTAATCTTCCACCATTTATTGCCTACCTCACCTCTCAAACTGTGTGTTTCCTTCATAAATCATCACGCGTATGCGTTCCCGTACACGTCACGCAGCTAATCAAAAGCGTTTTTTTTGGGGGGGGGGAACCAATTAAAATGAGTTCGGGTTTAATTCGCGGTATATTTGACCCAATCAAATTTGAGTTTTATTTTGGGTCTCTCATATTTCGAAATTCAAGTTCAGTTCCGCCCATGGAAGTCTGCGATGGGTGTCACTTAAATTATATCGAGCTGATTGCGAGTTTTGAGGAAAAAAACGAAGAAACTATAGCATTTTTTCGAAGGCATGGTGTTCTTCCAACCTCAGTAAAGTGTACTAAGAGCAAGACAATGTAAATGTCGCAAAGACCAACATATGTGGCATTGGTTGAGAATCTCAGAATCAAACGACAAACAAGAACCTGGTCTCCAGGCCAATAAAGTAAGAAATAGGTGATTCCATCATATGGTTAGAGTCAGTTAGGTTAGGTTTGGTTTTTGTTTTTCTAGTGCGTTATGGTGTATTTTTTATTCGCTTGACCATTATTTATTTTTCGAAAAAGTCACGAAAAAAAATCGATAAAAAAAAAACCCGGCCAATTTCCGACGGAAATGAAGGTCATATTCGGTCTAAACACACAAATACACTAGAAAAATATATTTTTGACTTTCTAACAGAGTGGGAGGTGGAAGTGCAAATTTATCAGTTAGGTTAAGTTAGGTTAGGTTTTTTCCATGCCTTTTTATGACTTTTTTTCTTGTGATTTTTTTTCTTGGATTCGTGATTGACATCCACAGAGAACTGTACAAGACGAGTGTTACCAGCCCATGGCCTTGCTGGCGGTACACATATCCACTTTTCTTACTGTACTGTGTCTAGTTAACACCGCCATATATAAATACATACATACACACATACATAATGTTAACTTACCACGAGGGAGGGCGGAAGGCCAACAAATTAACATTTACTAACAATAATAAACAAGACTGCCACGTTAGTTGTTCTGTGTCTTAGTTATTACCTTAACATGTCCATGCATAATGTTAACTTACCACGAGGGAGGGAGGAAGGCCAACAAATTAACATTTACTAACAATGATAAACAAGACGGCCACGTCAGCTGTTGTCGACCTGCTACATCTTGTCCGATTCTCTCTCTTATCTTTCAGTAACTGCAAGTTTTCATTATTATTACTATTATTACATATTGACAACACAATATATATATGATGGTTGCACGTAGGTTAGGTTAGGTTAAGGTATTATTGCGTTTACACACCGTTCATTCCTACCACTAATCTATTATCACATTCAAATAAGATGTCTAATTATAAGATAATTTTCATCTATTACATTACCGGTGGAAATGTATAATAACGGAGATAGCATATCCAAAATTTTCTCTATTTTCTTCCATTAATTTTCCTCCATTATCGCCTGCCGCACATCCAACACTGCGTGTCTCCTTCATAAATCATCACGCGCATGCGTTCCCGTACATGTCACGCAACCAATGAAAAGTGTTTTTGCTTTTAGAACCAATTAAAATGATTTTGGGTTTAATTCGCAGTATATTTGGCCCAATCAAATTCGAGTTTTATATTGGGTCTCTCATATTTTGAAATTCAAGTTCAGTTCCGACCATGGTGTCACTTAAAAGTATATGGAGCTGATTGGGAGTTTTTGGAAAACAAACGTAGAAACTATCGCATTTTTTTGATCGCATGGTGTTCTTCCAACCTCAGTAAAGTGTACTAAGAGGAAGACAATGTAAATATCGCAAAGTCCAACATATGTGGCGTTGGGTAAGAGTCCCAGAATGCAACGACGAACAAGAACCATGCCAATAAGGTAAGAAATAGGTGATTCCATCACATGATGAGAGTCAGTTAGGTTAGGTTAGGTTTGGTTAAGTTAGGTTTGGTTTTTGTTTTTCTAGTGTTTTTTGGTGTATTTTGCCATGAATTTTTCGGGAAACGTCCAACGGAAAAGAATCGAAAAAAAAACGGCTAATTTCCGTCAGAAATGTAGGTCATATTCGGTCTAAACACACACAAATACAATAGAAAATATATTTTTGACTTTATAACAGAGAATGGTGTGACAATGCAAATTTACCTATGTTAAGTTAGGTTAAGTTAGGTTTTTCCGTGCCTTTCTGTGACTTTTTTCCTGGATTCGTGATCGACATCCACAGAGAACTGTACAAAACGAGTGTTACACCCGGTCCGACTAATTACCCAAATGTACCCAAATGTAGCCGCAATGAAGTCAAATGATGGTCGTACAAGCGTAATTCGGGCTGTGAATCACTTCTCGATTATTATTTGGTGTCATAAAGTAAAAAAAATTGGTAAACTTAATTTAATCTGAGTTGTGTTAGGTTAGGTTAGGTTAAATTAAATTAAGTTTATCAATTTTTTGTGACTTCGTGACACCAAATACTAGTCGAGGTTAGGTTAGGTACATGCACTCGATCTATTAACTGAGATTAAATTAAGTTAACCATTTTTTTGTGACTTTCTGACACCAAATACTAGTCGAGAAGTGATTGGCAGTCCGATTTATTCATCTAGGACCATTATTTGACTTCATTGCGGCTATATTTGGGTAATTAGTCGGACCCTGTTAACCAGCCCACGGCCTTACTGGCGGTACACACATCCAATTTACTTACTGTACTATGTCTAGTTAACACGGCCACCCATAATGTTAACTTAACACGAGGGAGGGAGGAAGGCCAACAAATTAACATTTACTAACAATAATAAACAAGACGGCCACGTTAGTTGTTCTGTGTCTTAGTTATTACCTTAACACGGCCACCCATAATGTTAACTTACCACGAGGGAGGGAGGAAGGCCCACAAATTAACATTTACTAACAATAATAAACAAGACGGCCACGTTAGTTGTACTGTGTCTTAGTTATTACCTTAACACGGCCACCCATAATGTTAACTTACCACGAGGGAGGGAGGAAGGCCAACAAATTAACATTTACTAACAATAATAAACAAGACGGCCACGTTAGTTGTACTGTGTCTTAGTTATTACCTTAACACGGCCACCCATAATGTTAACTTACCACGAGGGAGGGAGGAAGGCCCACAAATTAACATTTACTAACAATAATAAACAAGACGGCCACGTTAGTTGTTCTGTGTCTTAGTTATTACCTTAACACGGCCACCCATAATGTTAACTTACCACGAGGGAGGGAGGAAGGCCAACAAATTAACATTTACTAACAATAATAAACAAGACGGCCACGTTAGTTGTACTGTGTCTTAGTTATTACCTTAACACGGCCACCCATAATGTTAACTTACCACGAGGGAGGGAGGAAGGCCCACAAATTAACATTTACTAACAATAATAAACAAGACGGCCACGTTAGTTGTACTGTGTCTTAGTTATTACCTTAACACGGCCACCCATAATGTTAACTTACCACGAGGGAGGGAGGAAGGCCCACAAATTAACATTTACTAACAATAATAAACAAGACGGCCACGTTAGTTGTACTGTGTCTTAGTTATTACCTTAACACGGCCACCCATAATGTTAACTTACCACGAGGGAGGGAGGAAGGCCAACAAATTAACATTTACTAACAATAATAAACAAGACGGCCACTTTAGTTGTACTGTGTCTTAGTTATTACCTTAACACGGCCACCCATAATGTTAACTTAACACGAGGGAGGGAGGAAGGCCCACAAATTAACATTTACTAACAATAATAAACAAGACGGCCACTTTAGTTGTTCTGTGTCTTAGTTATTACCTTAACACGGCCACCCATAATGTTAACTTAACACGAGGGAGGGAGGAAGGCCCACAAATTAACATTTACTAACAATAATAAACAAGACGGCCACTTTAGTTGTACTGTGTCTTAGTTATTACCTTAACACGGCCA